TCTCATTTTCCCCCTCCAAACTACACATCCTTAAAAGACTAGCTCATTGGGTGCAATTTGCATTGCTTATGTATGTGTGAGTGTGGGGCATGGACAACCTACTAGGGGTCATACTCTTCAAGAAAATCCTCTTTCTTACTTAGCAGCCATTAGCTGTCTGTCAGCTGATCCTCAGCTGGGGTGGGGGCTCAGGAGCTTCTCCTCCGTGTGTGCTGGAGTGCTGACTGAGCTAATCTTAGGCACCCACAGCTACTGTCAGATCATCAGTGCAGTGGGCCTGTTGCATCCAGAAACCACTGTTTTGTTCTGGTCCTCCCTGACTCCTGGCTCTTACAGTCTTCCCGCTCCCGGGCCTCGGGGAACAGGTATAATATAGACCCTCCAAGTGTGGCTGAGCATTCCATAGACACGTACTCTCTGCATTTGACCGGTTATGAGTCTTTGCCTTAACTGCCATGCACTGCACAAAGATGTTTCTCTGATGAGGACTAAGAGTACAGTCTTGCCTTTGGCAGATAGTTCTGTCAAGATTTTTTTTTAGTTATCCACACAACCAAATTTCTTCAACAGATGGTCTTACATCAACTGTGCTTGAGGTATCCCATACTGTTTAAGTACTGGGTGGGGTCTGTATTGTGGTTCCATCCTTCCTATAGGACGCCCATGGCAACCTAGGTTGTCATAGTCTAGAGTCACACCCTTCTTGTCTGCTTTCCCAGTACCAAGTACAGGGTCCCTGAAGTGAGGGTTTTGTCTTTGTTAGGACTCAGGTGTGTTCTCTTGGGCCTATAACCTATATGCATCTGTTGTTCTCATTTGTGAATAAGGTTGGAAAGCTAATTTTTAAGTTCTCTGAAAGCCCTGGAAGATCTGATTCCATGTCAGCAGGTGGGTTACCCTCTACAGAATGTAGGGTTTTGTTGAAGTGACCTTAGTCCATCCTGAGTGGTGGGACGTTTGTAAGAAGTAACTCATTTAATCATTATTAAATTAAGTGATTTCACTTCATTAAAGTTAATACTTCCTGTCTATGTCTACTTTATCCCTCTTAAAACGTGGGAACTGAGAGGTTATTATTTTTAGTGCACAATATGTTATCAAGGGTGCTATTACATTTTAGAATTTCTAAGTATCAAGCCTGAGGTTTGGATATCTGGTGAATTTTTTAATTTTGTTTTTTATTACAGTGTCTGTGTCTGTGCATGATGGGTGCTTGGGCACCCATATCACGGATACACCTTTGGAGGGCAGAGGACAGCTTTGTGAACTTGGTTTTCATCTTCTACCCTTATATGGGATTCTGGGATCAAACTCAGTTTCTGGGCTTAGGAGGCAAGAGCCTTTACTGCTGAGCCATCTTGCTGGCCCAAGTTGAGTTTCTTTAAGATAGAGTAATTAGAGATAACGAGGAAGAGACCGTGTTGGGGGTGGGGGAGAAAATGAGACTGAATGAGTTGTCTTCATAGTCCCTGTCTTCAAGGATATGAACTTGAAAAATGATCAAGACTTACCAGGTATATACATTTTGCTAAAGAATCCTTTGAGTAGAAACAAGGCTATTCCTGCTTAAGTTTGGACATATTAACATTAAAAGAGAGCAAAAACTAACTGCAAACATCGATTTGCGACATTTATGGACTGAGGTTTACACTGAGAATCACATTGTATTTGCTCATAATGAACTCATTTTGTGACTAATAGACTAATGGCAAAGTGTCGTTTCTTAATGACATGCAAACCTTCAAGCATCTGTCTTATCCACCTTTCCACAAAACCAAACCAAACCAAACCCAAAAAACCAAACCAAACCAACAACAAAAACCCAACCTGGGTAGGATGGCTAATTCCTCATCGTGAGAATTTCTACAACTGTTTGCGGTGCCCACCTGTGTGCTGCCGCCACCCACTCCGTTCTTCATTGACACAGTCTGAAGGACGTGAGTCGCGAGGTCAGACTGGCTACGTACACACCTGCCTATGCTCCTTACGAAAGGAAGGGAGCTGGCACAGCTGGCTTCATCTGTGTCTGCATTCTCGTCCCGTAAGTGGAGGTTGCAGCGGCGGCTGCCGCTCTGGGCTGTTATGGAGGTTGACTAGCGCTTGCAGCCATGTGTGGCAGGCGGTGAGTGCTGGTAAGTCAAGTTTTCACCGTGACTGTCCCTCAGTAGGCTTGGTTTCCTTTCTCTTTGGCTCTGGATATTTCCGTGGGCTCTTCATTCTCCAGCCTTCTGCTAGGGACAGAATCTCATCTTTCCTTGCAGACATCGCTCAGTAGTGGACTCCACGTAACCCTCCCCTGGGTTGACAGCTCCTCTGTGTGTCTAGCCAGCCAGCCATGACTTTCTGCCATAACTGTCATGATTCAGTGTGTCTCTTCTGTTGGCTTACTTCCTTACTTGTCTACAGGAACTGTAGACATGAGATATTTCTTCTTCCTCTTGCTTTGTATTTTAAGAATCTAAGAGAGAGAAGGTAAACAAATGTATACTGAATGGATAAATGGCCCCTTCTCCTTCCCTGAAACCCAGCACCCACATACTGTCTTTGTAACTCCACCCAGGAGTCAAATAGCGTTCGACTGAGTCCTCCTTTTTAGCTATGAAACCAGCAGGCCAGGTTGATAAACAACTTGCCCACCCAAGGACAGTTCCTTCACTGTTACCTTGTCAGTTTCTGCAGATTTGTTTTTGGAAACTCCTTCTGGCTTATTTATGAATCTTGTATAAAAAAACCACAAAAACAAACATTATTTTTGGTGGCTCTCAGGAAAGACAGTTTCCACTTTCATCATCTTGATTCATCCCATTTTTTCCAAGTTAACTTGGATCAACTCATAAACTCACACCACCATGGAAGGACAAAGACATTTAATTGATCAGAAGACAGTAGTTAAGGCACACCCCAAGAGCAGGGACAAAGGTTGTCCTTACTCCAGTGCAATCTTTTTGGATTGGTTTAGAGATGGGGCCTTGGTAGGAAAAGATCGTATGGCCCTGTGGTGTTAATTCATACTTCCCATGGCAGCTTTATTGAGGTATAGTTTATTTATCTTACAATTTGCCACCCGATGCCCCATAAGTACAAACTGTCAGTTTTTATATATTCACAGAGCTGTGCAACTCACAACACCATATAGCTTGAGATTGTGTTCATCACAACAGAAGGAGCACCACAGTGGTCAGTAGTTACACCGGCTTCATTTCCTGCCATCATTTATTTATCTCAGCCTATGAGTTTGCTTATCTGGATATTGCGTAAGTGGAATCACATTGTTTGTGGTCTTTCGTGATTGACTTCTTTTATGCTGACATAATAATTTTCAGGGTCATTCTTTAGTTATGTCACCCCATTTTATGGCTAAATAATATTTCATTGACTGGATACATCACAAATATGCACCGATTAATTGATTGGTATATGGATTATTTGTACTTTTTGGCCAATGTAAACAACACTGCTATGAATATCTGTTTACAAACAAGCTGATTAAGTAGATAAATAAAATTTAGTGTATCTCTATAGTGAAATAAAATTCAGTTATGGAAAGTAATGGAATACTGGTACTTGCTAAGACAGGTATTAAACTCTGAGTGCCTATGGAATCAAAGAAACCACTTATTTCATTATTTCACTGAAAAAATGTCCTTCATAGGCAATTTCTTTTTTATGTCGGAGCAGGATCTCGATTTATTCCAACAGGCAGGGACTTATGTAGGACTGAGGTAGGGGATGGGAATCATAGGATAGGGTAAGGTAACGTGAGGAGTGAGGGCCAATAGTATTCCACCAAGCAGGCAGGTAGCTAGGCAGGGGGCAATCTTGCATCAGGCCTGGTTGAGTCACCCCCACGTGGAGGTTGCAGGTCACAGGTCATCATAGGCAAATTATTAGAGACAGAAAGATCACTGGCTCCCAGGGCTTTGGTCTTGGGAAGGAAATGGGAAGTAGATTGCTAAGAGGTACAGAGTTCCTTATGTGCTGATAAACATGTTAAAAACCGTATTGATGGTTACATAGCTTTGTGAGTAAAAGACCCTGAAACTTAGCATTCAGAAGATTGTGATGTATCACGAAGTAATCAGTAATCTATGTCAATATGTAGCATTCAGTACCCTAGGGACCCCACTAGGAACTTCTCATTCCCAAGCATGAAGGTGAAATGCAAACTCCTAGAGTGTAATCAGTGTGCCACACTGTGCTAGTTTTCTGGGTACAGGCCACATTCAGAAAGATCTCAGTACCTCCAGGTATCAGCCGCAGGACTTCGGACATTTCAAGTGTTGACTGCTTCAGTATTTATATAGCTCAGATATAGTATTACCTCTGCCTTACAACACCAGGAGTCCCTGTGCACAGTAGTCCAGCCCTACGTCCAGCTTGATTCCTCTGTTTGACATTGTGGTCTGGTTCATAGGCAGGATTACGTGTCTGTGAATGAATGAGTAACTGCTATTTTTGAAGCCTCCTGGTATGTCCCTGGGCAAAAAAAATTTTTTTCAGGCTTGTGGCTGCCTCCTCTGAACAGCCTGAGGTTGGTCTGGAAAGGAAGGCATGAATTGCCCAACTGACTTCATTGAAGGGTTTCTTTTTCCCAACTGTTAACTGCGTTCTCTGGTGTTCTCCACGGTGATGACTGGAAACAGTGTTTGGGTACTCTAGAGTATTGTGATTTCCTCTGGGCTAAGATAGCCGAAAATTGTGGGTTGGGTCAAAGGGAGAGAGGGAAACAAAAGGCTATTGAAGCAAGTCTTAATTGGCTTTTCTTTCTTCTTTTCTCTCTCCTGTTTTTCTTTTTGAGTTGATCCAGCATCAATGCTCTGAACTGTGTGTAGCTTATGGGTGTTGGCGTAATGCGAATGTTTTTGATTTTTGTTTTTTCTTCTGTGAAGGTACTCTATGTTGATTAAGTTCTTTCTGTTGAATATCCTTTGCTTGCACTGAACTTTTCTTTATGTTGATTTTTTGCTTCGTTTTTTTTTCTCATTTCCCATGCTGTTCAGTTACTGGATGCCAGAAGAGCCAAGGTTTGTCCACTCTGCAGCCTGTTTCTTTTACGCCGCATGGCATAGCCTCAGCTACTCGTGTGCTCGAACGTGCTGTCCGTGTGTGCTTGAACGTGCTGTCCGTGTGTGCTTGAACGTGCTGTCTGTGTCTCCATTTGTTCCTTTTGCTTGCAGTAACCCTGTTTACTAAACCTGTTCGCAGCTTTATTCATAAAAAATAAAGTAAAATAAAGTCCTTGTTTGTGTCTACTCATATTGGATGCTGTTATTTTCATTTTCAAATGGATCTGCATTTATCATGGAGAATGATGGATAAAGAACATCTTAGGAAACAGGGAATACTGAGTCTGGAGTGTTGTGGGCCTAAGAAGGTGTGTTTCATGAAAGTTTCCCTCTAACCCTTTCCCTCCCTGAATTAAACACCATAGATGTATGATTTCCCATGTGATTGACACTAATACAACGTTTCTGTGTGTGTGTGTGTACATTTCTCTTCTCCTAAGACATTCGGAAAGCATCACTGAATTAATCGCCCTCCCCATGTGCTGTCCCATGCTTCTGAAGTCACCATGGAGGACTTCACAGCTGGCACCCCCACCTCCCCCACCTCATGATTAACATTCCATCCTCACGGTGTGGCGGCGGATAGCACGCGGCCTGTTCACTGACTTCTCTCCGTTCTCCTCTTCCCGCTCCCTCTCTCTCCATGTAGCATCTGCAGCTGACCATCCAGGCCCTTCAGGATGAGCTGCGGACCCAGAGAGACCTTAACCACCTCCTGCAGCAGGAGAGCGGCAACCGAGGAGCAGAACACTTCACCATCGAGCTGACCGAGGAGAACTTCCGCAGGCTCCAAGCCGAGCACGACAGACAGGCCAAGGAGCTGTTCCTTCTGCGGAAGACGTTGGAAGAGATGGAGCTGAGAATCGAAACACAGAAACAGACTCTCAATGCCCGAGACGAGTCCATTAAAAAGCTCCTGGAGATGCTGCAGAGTAAAGGGTTGCCATCCAAAAGCCTTGAGGATGACAATGAGCGCACCCGGCGGATGGCGGAGGCTGAGTCTCAGGTCAGCCACTTGGAAGTGATTTTAGACCAGAAGGAGAAGGAGAACATCCACCTGAGAGAGGTAAGAACATCGGGGCAGCTTCCCAAAGCCTTGCTTAGGCTCTGAGATGTGTTATCCAGCTATTTCACGTCGGTAGTCTCAACCTCGATCCCCTCGTCATCGGCTCCCTAGTCTTCTCTGCCCATGGCTGTTAAGGTAGAATTTGGTGTGCGCCTCCTTCTGCATTCATCACACGGGGGTTGGGTTATTATTCGAGCTTGGACACCGCACGGTAGCTCTGATGTACTTTATGCTCACCTTTCCAAGGTGGCTATGGTTTGGGGGGCTTTTGGGGGACGGGTCTGTTTAAGTTTGGTTGCTGGTCAAACAGCTCTCTAAAGAAACAAATAGGTGGTTAGTGACACAGAGGAACCAAGCATTTTTATAGCTGAACCAGGGACAGAGTTTATGGAAAGGAAAACACATGTGCGTTTTTCAAGAAGAAGGGTAAAATGTACAGAGCAACTCTGAACATTTAGGTTTAAGATAATCCTCGTCTGCGTTTACATTTGTCTAGAACAGACTGTTCCAGGGTTTCTGAGTATGTGTTTCATCCTTAGTGTATTAAATCATTTGAAGTCATCCGGAGGCAGTTTCTCTGGCCACCACCGCTGAATGTCGAGATGCTTGCATATCTGAGAATTTATGGTTAGTTAAAGTCCAGAAAAAAAATGTGGGTGTCAGCCAGGGTTTGAAATTGTTACCACAGTTCTCTTGCTACTGTAGGGGTAGAGATGGGTGTAGGAGCATCATGTAGGTGAAACTGCTAATACTGCACAGCACATTGCAAGCCATAGACATGTCTTCCAAACGCAGACGGTGCTAAATATCAATTTCAGAGTAGACTAGATTTCCCGGTACTGAATACCTGCTTAGATGGGCAGCTGCCTTGAGAGAACCTTTGTGTGCTGTTAAGAACGGGCGGCTTCCTCGCTGAGATTTGCTAACATACCGGTGCTCCCATAAGGCTTCTCTAATATTGTTTGTATTTGCCTGGAATCTTCTAGCAGACTTTGGTATGTTCAAACCTAATGTCCTCTACTCTTAATCTCCCTTGCTTTATTTTCTTGAGGTCTTAGCCACATATTTTGGAAAAACCACATGGATTGGTTTTATATTAAGATACTTAAAGAGGTGTTTTGTTGGCCTGCTCTTTCCATTTGAGTTCCAAGAGTGTGAATGTGGCGGGCAGACTTCTAAAATGATCTCCATGGTCCTTACACCTGGGATTTTGCACCCTTGCACAATGACTTTCTCTTGAGAACTGGCTACTTCTAGAGACTTGCATCTAAAAGACACAATGTAGCAGAAGCAATGGATGTTGAAGCCACTTCCAAGACAGGGTTACATAAGACTGAAGCTTCTACCTTGCAAGCAGATCTCGTCGCCTTCATAGTGTTTTGATAAATCACACTGTTGCACAGAGAGGCTGGACGGTGAGGACCTGAGGGCAACCTTCATCCAGCATCCAGGGAGGAGAGGAGGTGCTCAGCGTGTGCTAACAATAAAACCTGCTGGCAGCCCCAGTCCAGCCTTCAGATGAGGTAGCGAGTGCTAGCTGATGCCTTTGCTGCAGCCTCCTGAGACATTGGGAAGTCAAGGACCCAGATAAGGTGGACCTAGTCTTTTGACCCATAGGGAAGAAAAAAAAAACTATGGATTAATAAGCGTGTACTTTTTGAGTTGGTTAATTTGGGAGTCATCCGTTGTGCAGCAGCGTGTGACTGGTACAGCAGAGCAGCGACAACCCCTCTGTTCCTTTGTGAGACTCCAGTCTAGTCTACAAAAGAGCAACACACATCAAGATTTGCATGAAGCCTGGTTGGATTTTGAAATGTTACTTGTGCTGTCTCAGAACTGTGGTAGTAGAGCATCTTCCCTTGTTAGGAAAAGCTCCTGTGTTAGAGTAGGGGCCAAAGGGTGATGTTATATACCTAGCCAGAGTGGGATGCCAGAGAAAGCACCAGTTGTAATACACACACGTAACCCCTCTCCACGCTGGGTCCTTGTGGTCAGCGTGGAGTCCCTGTTTTATGCTGTAGACCTTTCTTCTAAGTAGCATTTAATAGATGGCTGCCTTGGTCCATTTGTGCGGTCATTTCCATTCAAAAGAATAGACACACGATTCATGTTTTTTTTTTTTCTCTGAAATGGATTGGTTCTCACAGAGGTCCGTTGTGGATTCAGATCATGTTTAGAGCCTTAACATGAGTTTGAGAGATTTTTACAAAAAGAGAAGCCTGCAAAAAGGGCAGCCGGCATAACCATCTGGCTTCATTGTTCACCAAACCAGTGAGTTGACTGCCCTAATCTTGGCTCATCAAGAACAGATAATATGTAAAAAGCATGCCTATGTTAAAAAAAAGTATTCAATTTGGACTTGGATTCAATGAACATAGTTTAGAGGCTTAAAAGGAACGTGTTTTGCAAGAGAAGATTGCAGTGGCTTGTGAGGTCCTTGGTTGAATTTTTAGGAATTTGGGGAGCCTGCTATTAAGCCATTGACCACTTGAAATTGGTCATGGTTGGAATATTTACACCTTAGCAATTGACAGACACTACTTTAGATTACACGGAACTGTTACTCCCATCTTCCGAGTATACTGCTGTCTCCTTGGCTTGCATGCATCGCTGAGGCAGGCTGGTCTGTGATGAGATGGGTGTGAAAATCAGCTGAGTGGAAACTCCAGCCAACTTATGGTGAGGACTGCCAGGGCTCAGTCCATTCCCAAGAGCCATTCCTAAAGCCCGTCTACCAGCACACTGCTGAATAAGGTACAGAGGACACTATCACCAGTGTCCCCAAGAAGGAACATTCCAGACTCTGGAAGTTACAAACCTGAAGAACTATGGCTTTTATGTCTCTAACTACTCATGGTTCAAAAGTTTCCCTTTGGTATTGTGTGGCTGCTGTGATGACTCCATCGAATCCCTGGAGACTCCTCATTCATTTGGTAGTTCGGTTACTCATTAGTTAGGGACTCATTCGTGGGTTTCAAACAGGGTCTACTTAGGATTCTAGCTTGCTTTTGAGTTTGCTATGTAGGCTAGGCTGGCCTCAAGCTTGCCATCTTCCCGCCACAGCCTCTGGAGGAGTCCTAGTATCACAGGCGTGTGACACTCTTTGCGTATGATTTTTTATTGAGTGTCTACTTGAAAGTATGAAATGGTAACTGATAGTTAGCTTGACTTCTCTTGTGATGGAAAAATAGGGAAGTGTTATGGAAGAGAAACTGAAGCACAATGCCCTGGGCGAGGTCAGCCTCCAGTGTGGTGGCTAGGAAAGGTATCTTGCGCAGAGGCATACGATCATGATCTGAGACTTCAGTGACAAAAGGATCCTGCCAGGTAAGGACCTCAGGGGACCATTTCACTCATGTAGAACTACTAGGAGGTAGGTGCTGCTACTTGTTCATCTTACCTGGGGGAACCAAAACGCAGGACGCCAAGAGGCTTGCCAATGTCACATAGGTGGAAAATGGTAGAGATGGTTTTTGAATCAGGTTGACTTAGTCTCAGCTCTTAAATCACGTCATTATGTCCCCTTCCTAGGAGCATCTTGGCTAGAGTGTTCTGGGCAGAGCAGACGTTTTGTGGTATAAGAAAAAAAGGGGGGATCATTTCTAGACAGAGGACATAGGAAAGGGAGAGCTCTTCAATGTGTGGCTCACTTTTCTCTTACTGCACTGGTTTTTTTAAAGGCATTTTGGGAAAATGCTATGCTAAAAATCTGTTTTTTTGACCTATAAAACATATAATACACAAATAGTTGTTTCCTATTACCAAAAGTCTGCGTTATTTCCTTCATTAGTTATCCTTTAAGGCAAATTTCATTGTAAGCCGTCTCTGTGTTCTCTACTGAGGCTTAAAATGCACTTCTATCACAGTATTTTAATTATTTTAGTAGAGCAATGTGTCTGACAGCTTTTGTTATTAAACCCGCAAGAGTGACTCAGCATGAAAACAGTAACTGCCTGGCCTCTGCTAATTGAAACGAATTTAAACCAGAATGTAAGTGTATTTGGGGTTTCAGCCTCAGTGTGTTCCTGATTTCTCTTTCATTACGTGCAGTTCAGCCAGGTTGGAGCTGTGATGCGATGCTGGGGGAATGGAGTGCTAGTGGGTTTATGATTCATAATGAGGTTGGACCTCACAGATATCCCGTGCCCAGACCTCCTACAGTCCATTGTTTCATTGTTATGATTCATGATCAGGCAGATGTTGGACCTCACAGATACCCCGTCCCCAGACCTCCTACAGTCCATTGTTCCAGGCACTCTGGAGTCGGCAGACACTGCACGTGAGGCAGAGCGGCTTGCTTTAGTGTCCTCTCGTTTTTCTGTGGTCTGGAAGAGGCTGAGAGTGAAAACCCCCTTCTTTGTGTGCAGGAGACAGCAGTGACAGCAGCAGCGCTAGCAACAATAAAATAAATATGATAATCTCCGCTTGTCTGGAACACTAAGATCTTTGCCGGGAGCTACAGCTGACATGCAAAGATTTTGCCAAGACGCAGTATTACTCACTGTGTGTCGCCTGTGCATTTCCACACAGGTTGGTTTGGTAAGAGTGTTTGATACGGTAATGGCTTACCTTGTTCCCTAACTTTTTCTGCAAACATACCGTCCCACATGAACTATCCAAAACACCATTGATCTCACTGAAGAGAGAAAAAAAATATACTACGCTATTCTTACGTTTACTAGACTTATACTTCTTAAGGGGTCTCAGAGCAGAACCAGAGGTCTTTTGGACTTGCCATACCGTAAGTGGGTAGTGGAAAGGATCAACCTTGTGCTGCTGTGACTGTTGATATTTTATGTTAATTCCTTGGAGGTGTGGCTAGCTTCTCAAGTAGAAGAGTACTCAAGCCACCATGGCTGGGTAACCAGCAGCCCAAAGCCAGCAAAACTCAGAACACAGGATCCGAGTTTATGTTCTGTGCTCCGAGGAAGCAGTGAGAAGTAGACAATGTGAATTCCTGGTCATTGAGATTATCTGTCTAGAATGTTCCGAGGCCATTG